GAGGTGGGGATTGCTCTGTACTAAAGATTTTTTCATACCCAAGACTTGAATCCAATACCTTTAATTATAAGAAGACCAACATCATCCGCTGAATCACATCCGTAGGTGGTACCCCTCACCCTTTATTCCCCTCTTCCTCATAGTGTTTGCTATATTATATAAATGTTTTTGGAATAATATTTTTGGGTGAAAATTATTTACACTTCTAATTTTTTTTTAAAAATAAAATAATTAAATTCTCCCTCAATTTTAAATAATAGAAATTCTTTCCTCTTTTTTTTCCTAATTGAATTTTCTAAATGTCTATTGTTAAAGAATGACAAAAGTCCCACATCGGTGGTTAATGAGATGGGTGGACTCCTTATAAGGCTTGGGCAATCCTCCTCCCTTTGAGCTAGCTTTTGGGGTGTGAGTTAGGCCTAAGACCTAATTTAACATGGTATCAGAGCAGGGCCCGTCTCACCCGATGTTGGAAATAAAAAGTAAAAAATGTTTATTGATTGTATAAGCTAATGTTATTCTATAATGAAATAAATAAATAGAATTAAAAATTAATTTTAATATTAATAATAAAAATTATTATATGATAACCTTATATACATATTTCAATGCAGATACTATAAAAATAAATGGCAAAAATGAAGCAGCTATATTTTTGTATAACAAATTCTTAAAAGATTATCTATTTATAATGTAACAAATTTTAAATTATAATTTAGAAAATATTTTATTACAATCAAAATATATTTACCTATATAGATAATAGAAAATAAGAGATTAGTGAAACTTAAATATGCATACACACATACTCATGCATACTTAATGCATGTAATATTAAAATGACAATCATAAAAAAATGACTTTAAATTTTTTTGAAATAATTTTTTGTTTTAAAAAATATTCTATTTATAATATTAATGAACTTAGATAAAAATTTAAAATACTTTCAAAGATAAGGGTGGAGTTTGATTTTAAAAGCAAAGTTGAAAAATATAAATAAATTTCACTCAAATATTTTTTGTCCATTTACCAACACAAAATAAGTAAGAAAATTACTTACTTTTCAGAAAAAAAAAGTTTTTCTTCCTACCAAACGCATCCTTAGTCGTATGTGTCTGTTATATTGGCTAAAATTCTAGAGAATATGAATATTTTTGGGTGAAAATTATTTACATTTCTAATTTCTTCTTTTAAAAAAAAATAAAAAATAAAATCAAACTCTCCCTCAATTTTAAATAATAGAAATTCTTTCCTCTTTTTTTCCTAATTGACTTTTCTCAATGCCTATTATATTTTTACATCATCAACCATTTTTAAATTCATTAATATATATATATATATATATATATATTGTCGCACCCCCATTTTCGAGCTGGTCGAAACAGTTCACAACATAATATGGCTGACACTCTGATTTTTTTTAAAAATATTTTTGTTTTAGAGTTGCCACCTAAATTTTAAGGAAAAATATTAGGAAAATCATTTTTTAAATATGTAAATGTAAACTTGTTTTGATTTGCGAAACCAGTGAGATTCTGAGTAAGGGTTTTAGTTACTCGAGGGGAAGGTATTAAGCATCCCTCAGAGCCTATCCGAAGATAGTCCTTAAACTCAATTTAGGAAAATATAATTAGGAGAAACTTATTTATTTATTTGCTTTAAAATCAATGATAAGTAAATTTTATTAGTTTAAGAAAAGAGTAAAATACAACATACGACATATATATGTCTATTAAATAAAATTAATAGTAGTATGTTTATCATACGGTAAAATAAATAAATGAATAAATGTACTAAAAATGTATGACAATTTTATATGTTGGAAAATATAAATGTGTCTTATATAAATGTTGAGTTTAAAGGATATGAAAATTTGTCGTTTCATTTATATATAGAATTAAGACGTGAAAGAAAATAAGATAAAATGAAATAGTAGTCGGGTGCAAATATGTAGTAAAATAATGTGTATATTAAAGTGTAGAAATTTATAAATTATATATAAAAAATAAATAGCATTCGTAAAAGGGGTAGTAGATAAAATTAATAGGTTATGTAGAAAAAAATATAGAAATTATACCTTTATGTGTATGACCTATATATGTATGTACCTTGTATTTTGAATATGTTGGCGAAGCTGAAAACTTGAAATAAATATATTAAGAAGTTAAAATATTTGAGCAATATCTGATTATTATTATTATTATTTTAAAAAGAATATGATAACAATAAGTCCATTTTTTGTTATTAAAGGAGTTGATTAAAAATAAGAAGAATGGGTTTTACTAATAATATTCCACGCCTACTCATCGCTCTTCTATATTAAGTTTTAAAGGGGCTTAAAAAAAACCAACGTCTAATTATTTCATAAGGCCAATTAAGACCTCTAAATGTTGAACTAAATAATATAAGGTTAACTCCTATCAATGGTCTACTAAAACTTATGTAATTCTAGGTAGGAGATGCTAGTTATCCTAAAGGAGAGTGATTGAAAGCTTTCTCTAAAAGTTTTTTTTTTTTTTAAAAAAAATAGCTAATCGATTGAATTTAGATTAATTAAAAGAGAATTTATGAAGGAAAATAAAAGTTTAAGAGAGAATATTAACATCTATTATAACGGAATATAAATTAGCCTTAAAAAAGGGGTTAATGTATAAGGTTTATAAAATGCTAACTAGTAACTATACATATTAAAATCTCAAAAAAAGTGGAATAATGTCTAATGTAATTTCATAGACACAAAATTAGTTTAAAATATTAATTTGTTTCTTCTAACAAGCCGAAGGGGCTTGAGGAAACGTGTATAATTTATTGGTTAAAATTTTTCATGAAAAACTAATGTAACAAAAGTTTCTTAAGGCCAAGGAGGTCTAATTCTAGGCAATTTATCTTTCGAAAAAAAAAAATATATTTGTATTTGCATTTTTATCCTTAACTCCAGCGTTTAGAGTTCAAAAAAGGGGTTATGTTTACTCTAAAACATAAACAATTACAATGTTTTAAGGAAGGGAGTTTTCTTGAACTCAAAATCTGTATTTTTAATGTTCAAATTTCTGCCCCTCAAGGCTCTCAAAATCTGCTCTTTTTAAGAAAAAATCTGCACTTTTACATCTTTGAGAAAGTAGCATTTTTACATCTTTGAGAAAGTAGCATTTTTAAGTTAAAGAAAACTGCATTTTATACTTGGAAAAAAATGCATTGTAAAGCTGTTAAAACAATCTTTTATTCCCAAAAAAATTAATCAATACTTTAGAAGTTATTG